TGGGGGCGCGGTGGGTTTTTTCCTGATGGTGCGAGGGCTAACCTGGACGTAGCCAGAAGCTGTTTGAGGAGTTGGCCCAAGTTTTCAAAGCGCCAGAGGCATGTAGTTCGCGCAGCCATTTGCGACTGCCTCTGGGTTGATCAGGTGGCACATGATAACGGTTGCTGCGCTGCGCGCGCTGGCTTGCGTGAGCGCGGAGAGCCCGGCACTGTCCATCGCGGGCTCTTCTGCTGCATTCCCTGCAGCGCGCGCCGCTCGGGCGGAATATGAGGCCCTTGGGTCCTTCTTTGAGGCCGCCAACGGGGGCCCTGCAGGCCTGCTCTACAGCAGTGGCGTCGCATCGATCCTTCCAGGCGACGCCCCCCCCCCTGTCCGTGAAGTTTCTGCCGCCCAAGTCTTGAGTGGAGATTGTGAGTTTTTCCTTCACTTAGAGGCTGAGGGAGCCACCGCTTTCGCGGGAAATGCCGGTCGACTAAACATCGCAGTTGACGGTAGCAGCACCATGCCGATTTTGTATGGTTTTCAGCGTGCGTTTTTTCTTTTTGTTGTATTTTTCGGTGGTTCTGCTCGACCCTCAGACCGAAGCCACCTTCTCGGTGGTGCGTGGCACTGTGCCTGGAGGTTTCCCGCAGACACCAGCTATGGCTGAGAATTTCTCGCCCGCGGTGGCCTGCCATATCGCGGGTCGCAGTCCGAATGTGCATGCAGACTGCGCAGTACCGCGAGGCTCGGGGTTGCTCTGGGACCCCCGCGTTCACTCGCCAGGTCGTCGGCCGTTCTCTGGGGCACCTGATTGTGGGCGTGGCCTCCCACGAGATCCACCCCAGAGCTCCAGAGCCCTTGGAGCCAAAGGTTCATCGTTTGCAGTTATTGTGTGTTCCTTGCGCGTGCTGGGCCCAGCGGCGCTCGCGTAACCTTGATAAGACTTGCCTATGGCCAACAAGGAAAGGTCGCGAGGTGTTGGGAAGAGACCGCCAAGGACTCGGCCCCAGCAGTCGAGTACGACAGTATTTTGATCGTGCCGCTGCTGTTTCAGCGATGTCTGTGGCTACGAAGCCGCGGTGCAAGACCCTCGTTCACACCGCTGTGCCGACTGCCCACTCGAGCGCTTCTGCTGTCCCTGAGTATGAGGGACGGCTGGTCGCTCTCGCTGAGCGAGTGTGTGCCAAGGAAGCATTCAAGGCAGAAACGTGAATTCAGGTCGTGGAACCCTGTCGCGGGCCTTGGTCCGAGTGTGGGGAGCTCTTGCGAGCAATGTGTATATCCATATCCAGTGCGTCTTGGAGTTTCGGACTCTCTTCCCAAGAAACATGAGGCGCACTGGATATGGATGAAAATCTGCCTCCACAAGGCTCGATGTTTATCCATATCCAGGGCGCCTCGGCCTTGCGGCGCCCCTTCCAAGAAAGTCCAAGACGCATTGGGTATGGATATAAATATTGCCCGCAGCTCTGTCCTCCAGGGTAGCAAATCCCTTTCTGAAGGGTGCCACCGACCTTTTTTCGTTGTTGACTTGCGAGTATATTCCCCTCGGGGCTGTCCTAACCGAACCTAATCTCATCCTGCTCCTCCTTCTCCTCCTCCTCCTTCCCCTTCTCCATGTCCTCCTCCTCCTCCTCCATGTCCTCCTCCTCCTCCTCCTCCTCCTCCTCCTCCCCCTCCTCGCCCTCCCCTCCCCGGGTCGCCTGCAGCCCCGAGGGAAACCGTGCAGCCCAAAGCGCGCAAACGACGTGCTTTGAGCCGCCTGGTTACAGGGAAAGGAGGGAGGGTGGGAGGAGGGAGCAAGGCACGGGGTATGCATGACATTGCGAATGCTCGCGCGGATAGCTCGGACCGGCGCCAAAACCCCCAAGCGGCGCCTCTGGCGCCGCCCCCGACGCGCTCCGCGCGCCAGGGAGTGGGGCCGAGCAGCGATCCAAGAAATCCGCGCGGACCTTCGAAACTGTACGTTTGTGTAGTTGGGCTCGAGCGAACCGATGTTTTGGCGATTTCGTGGATCATTCTTGATCTGACATGCCCGACCTAGTATTACGGGCCCCCAGAGGCCGACCATGGCGACAAACCTCCCGTCGCGACCTTCTTCACAGCGCGAGGGGTCTGAAAATAGCGAGCGGGGAGTGAGTGCGGTGCACGGCCGCGAGCGGCGGGCGTGCCTCCCGCGAGGCGCCTGCCCGGCGAGGCCCCCGGCTGGCCCCGTCCCGTGGCCGCTCGAGCGGGGGCCGGGCCGGCAGGCTCACTTCCCAGACCCCCGACGTAATGATTTCTTCGCAACGCTGACCCTCGTGAGGGTCGACCCTTATGAGGGTCGAGACCTCTGCAGAGATCTCGACCCCTTCCCCTGGACCGGTTTTCCATCCTGAGTTCTTTTGTGAAGGTCCCGAGTGCCGGTGAGGGCCTCCAGAGGCAGAAAGTTAGGAAAAACCTCTCGTCGTGGTTTTGTTCACTACCCGACGGGGTCTGGGTTCTCGTCGTATGGCACGGCAGAGGCAATCGGCAACGGGCGTTCGAGTGCTCGGGGGGCATTCGGCAAACGAGCTGCCCGGCTGCAGGAAGAAGGGCGCGCGGGGGGGGGGGAGGGGAGTTGCCGCAGAGGACAGAGGAGAGAGGGAGAGGGTACTCACGGCTGAAATGTGAGCGCTTCATTAAGTCGGGCCTGTCCCTATACAGGAGGAGTGTTCAAGCATTAATTGTTATAAACAAATGCAGACGATTTGTTGGGGCATGTTTTGGCTATTTGTTGGCATGATGTAGATTATTTGTATTTTTCGCCCCAAATCCGCCTGTAGGGGGACATGCCCGACCATAGCGTTTCAGGATATAAGCGCGCCAGAGCGGCCCGCCGGGGCTGAAGTGACCCGTGTGTCGGCTACACGTACGCGCGGCATTGCGCCAGAGTGACCTTTGGTGCGGGGCCAGTGGGCCCTCCCGATCGCTGAACGCGATGTGACAACAGCGGCCTGGGGACCCGGCGGTAATTATCCCCAGAGGCCCCCCCTTTAGACCGCGCGCCAATGGGGGAACGAAGAATGACATAAACAAAAAATTTGGAGGTCCGCGCGGACCGCCGACTTTGGATGTTTCTGTCAGTCTTCGTTCCCCCACCCGAAGGTCACTCTTGCCCAGCGACCAGTTGGGACTCAGTGCTGTTGGCGCCTGCTTTCTCTTGAGGCCTCGACGATGCAGATGCAGAGCGAGGTGCTGGCGGAGGAGGAGGAGGAGGGAGGGAGAGGCGCAAGGCTCCAGGCCTTGGAGTGGCGTCCTACTCCTTCTCTTGTCTCGCTTCCAGAGGCATCCAGGGGCCTGCGCGGAGACCTGGAGGCCGCCCCGAAGGGGTGCAGCCGAGTGTCGCGAGCCACTTGGGGCTCCGGGGGCGCCCCTCGCTTTTGCGGGGCTCGGGCCGTTCACCGAGGCGCCCGGCGCCTCCCAGGGCCCCCCCACTAAAGGCCGCGTGGCGGCGGAGCTCAAGACGTGGGGGTCAGTGCAGACGGGGGTCAGCCAGGGCACCGGATCCTGCAGGATCCTGCGGAGACCCCCTCTTGGCTGACCCGGGTCAGCGAGCCGCTCGTGACCGCGAGGCGGCCGCGCATATTGGCTGACACGGGTTTGCGAAGACCTGCGTTGCAGTTTTTTGTTCCTGCGTTGCAGTTTTTTGGTTTCCTGCTGACCCGGGTCTGGGTTGACCCCGGTCAGAAGACCCCCGATGGTGGCGGAGCGTGCTGCGAGGCGGTGGGAAGCCCCGAGCTCAGACACGATCACGTCGTAAGCAAAAAGTCAGGACGGGAGGTTTTTGGCCAATTTCGGCCTCGGGGGGCCTTCGCTGGGCCCCATGACCGTCAAGAAACGGTTCAGGAACAAGAACTGGTCCTGGGGGAAGGGTCGGGACTTCCGGGGGCGCCGTCCTGAAAAAATCAGGACGCCGCATGTCTGGGAAGGTAACTTCTGTCAGGCGATCGCAAACATGGATCAAGCGGGCGTGGATTCGCGACGGGTCCCGTTTCCATAGGAGATCTCGGATTTCCGCCGCCGAGCGAGGCGGCACCGGCCGCATTTTCAGGAGGGCCCCCCCCACGATCCATGGATTTGGCGACCGGATTTGGCGACAGCGCGCCAAATACATGGATCGCTGATCCACGTTTGCGCGCCCCCGATCCTGGGATCTCGAGGTCGCCACACGGTGTGTCACCACACCGATGTGGGACAGGCGGGCGGGAGGCAGCGGGGGGCTTCAGGGCCCCACGGCCGTGAGCGATGCGTCTCGAGGGGCAGGTGGCCGGCACAAGCAGGGGTGGTACACAAGTTCTCGGATGTCCGCGCATCCGCGCTGGACCCCCTGGGGGCGCCTCCGGCGACGGCCCTGGCGCGCTAGAGCTTCTCAGGGAGATTCGAGTCACGCTCAATTTCCATGACATTATATCTTATAATGTAGCTCAATGTTCATGACATTATACCTTGTAGTCTAGTTTTTGAAGCGGAGGCGTCTAGCGCCGATCCGAAGAAATCCACGCGTACCTCAGGGGGCTTATGTTCCTGCAGTTTCCTGTTTCTCGAGTGCCCACGGCGGGCATCGCGGAGCAGTCGCCACGTCGAGTCGCCGCGGAGCCCAGACAGCGCGGCGGGGCTCCACAGGAGCCAGAGAGCCTGGAGCGGGTTGCTTCAAGGCTTCGAGACAGTGAACGATGTGTCCACGACGGCCACTGCGGAGCAGTCAGCGTTGTCGATGAGCGACCTCCGGGGCCTGGACAGAGCGGCGAGGCTCCACAGGAGCCAGAGCGCCCGGCAGGCAGCGGGGGGCTTCAAGGCCTCCAGGCTGCCGTAGAGTGATCGGTGTGCCCACGACGGCCGTGCGGAGCAGCCAACGTTGCCGAGGAGCCACGGTGCCTGGACACGGCGGCGAGGCTCCGAGGCTCCAGAGGAACCAGCGAGCCTGGCCGGCAGCGGGGGGGAGGGCGAGGACCGGGGGCGGGGGGAGGGCGTGGCGCCGTGCGAGCAGTGTTGCGCAGGGCTTCGGGCTTCGCTGACCGTCCTGGCCACCCACCGGAACACGAGGGGGTGCCGCCCCTGCGGCTGGCCGAGTCCCGGCTCCCTCTCTGCGGCCTGGCTCTCGGGGGAGGGGGGCGGTGAGATGACGAGGTGGGAGAGCACTGGGCGGGAGGGGCAGGAGGAGCTATAGTGTGAAGGGGCGATAGGGGGGTAGGGGACGTCGAGGAGCATGCGACGAGGGGGAGGGTGGGTGGGGGATGCAGGGCATTTGGGGGCGGGAGCAAGGGAAAGGTGTGTGGCTGTGGGGGCTGTGTTGGGGCGTGGGCGCGGGCAGGCAGGAGGAGGGGGTGTGGAGGAGGGGCAGCTGGAGCGCAGCGGAGAGGATGGGCAGCGGAGAGGCTCGTGGAGCGGGGTGGGGAGGAGGGAGGGTGCATGTCAGCGAGCGAAGAACGGTATGAAATAAACTTTTTTCGCTGTCGGGGGCGCCTGTCCCTGGGCGGCTGGAAAGTTTATACCCCTACGGTGCCACCGTAAGGGTATAAACTTTCCAGCCGCCCTGGGACAGGCGCCCCCGACAGCGAAAAAGTTTATTTAATACCGTTCTTCGCCCGTTAAGCATGGGGATGCGAGGAGTGCAGGCAGACGTGAAGGGGGTGGATGGGGGGAACGGGAAAGATGGTAGGGTTAAGTCGGGCCTATCCCTCTACAGGAGGAATATTCAAAAATAGGCATAACATGATAAGGGGACGATTTTGTTTAGTTTTAGTGCTGCTCTGGTGTGTGTGTATATATATATATATATATATATATATATATATCATTTTTCGCCCCAAGTCCACCTGTAGGGGGACATGCCCGACCTAATGGTAGAGGAGGGGGCAGCGGACCGGGGGAGCGGAAAGGGGAGCGGCAGAGGGAGCGGCAAGAGGAGCAGCATCAGGAGCACAGTCGAGGCTGGTTCGTAGATCGACCCTGCCAAATGGAGGGTATCCTTGTGTCCTGTGGTTCGCGACCCATGCCTTCTATATTCCTAACTATTGCAACGTGGCCGTCGGAAGTGTCTTGGGCCCTCTCGCGTGTCCTCTCCAATCAATGCCGACTGTGCCACCCATGTGTGATGCCCATGCGAAAGGCAGTTTGCGGCTTTTGCCGCTCTGGTCGAAGTTGGCTCAGGGCTGCGCGCTGGCGTTCCATCTCACGTGAGCCTCCACTCCTGTTCGCTCACCAGAAGAGGCCGTCGTGCAGGAGAGATTGCGGGAGGCGGAGGACGGGGTAAGTGGGCGGCACCACTGTGTTTAGGACCACAAGAAGCCCTAGCATTGCATAGCTAGGCCTCGCTGCGCAGGCTGCAGCATTGAACAGCACAGTGCGGGCAGTTGAACCCCAAAAGGTCGCTGAGCGTACTCTTGGCCCAGGAGCGTCGCGGCTGGAAGAACCCCATCGCTCCCTATTCGGCGTTCTTTGTGGTAGCACGATGGCTCCCATTTCCCTTCCCCCACCCCCTGGTTTCTCACGCGTTGTGACAGCCTGCTTGACCGCAGGAGGAGGGGCAGGATAAGGCAGGATAAGGAGGAGGAGGAGGAGGAGGAGGAGGAGGAGGAGGGGGAGGCTGGCCTGAACCATGGCTGCGGGCGCCCCGAGGTTTCCATGCCTGGCGCGTTGACCCGGCACGATCGCCCACCACAACTCGAAGAAGTAAAAAAGCCACACATAGCAACACCTGGCGCCCCTCGCGGATACCTCGGCTCCGCGCCGGGCGCCCCCGGGTGGCGTCTCAGCCTGCGGCGCCGCCCCGGCCGCGCTCCGCACGCCGGGGTCGGGGGGGGGCCCAGAGCGCATGCGAGCAGCCCGCGCGGAGCGCCAGAAGTTTCTGCTTCTGCCGTTTTCTCTTCTTCGGCTCGGCCCGTCCGCCCTCCCGCCGGCGAGGCGCCCTCTGCGAGCCCCGGGCCCTGCGAAGTCGCCGGCGGTCGCTTATTCGCCGCGTGCCGGGGGCACCGGGCATCGGCGGCATCGAGGGGCCAAGCGTCGACCATGCTGGCGGGATCCCCGGGCCCTCGCCTTGCCTTGCACTTCCTGGCTCTGCCGTGAGCCTCTCGTCGCTCGCGTCGTCGCGACGCTTCTCCACCTCCCCCCCGGTTGAGACGTTCCGCGCCCCCTTCGCCTCAAGTCGGGCGCGTCCCTCTACAGGGGGAATATTCAAAACGTCAAAAAGTCGCCTGGGGATGATTTTTGAGCATGTTTGAACTGTTTTGGTTTATTTTCGTATTATGTTTGAACCATTTCTGGTTTATGCTTGAACTATTTTTTATTCGTCTAAGATCCGCCTGTAGGGGGACATGCCCGACCTAACCTTCGCCCCGGGCTGCAGATGGGGAGAGGAGGGCGAGGATGAGGACGGTATGGGCGAGGAGGACAACGGGGATGGCATGGCGGTGGCGACGGTTCATTACGCTGATTGTGATCAGATGCTGCTGCTGCTCATGACGATGAGTAGCACGTGGCAAGTGAGGCGGGTGAGGAGGAGGATGAGGATGAGGATAATGATGATGATGATGACGATGATGATGACGATGATGATGATGACGATGATGATGAGGAGAAGGAGGACGATGATGATGATGAAGAGGAGGAGGATGATCTGCTCCGCTCTGCGCTTGTCGCCTCCTTGCCAGCTTTCCTCCTTGGCTGTTTCCAGCTGGACGGAGACACACTGAGCGGCGTAGGCATGCCATCTCTTCGGATCAGGCAGGCGTCTCTGACAGGGGGGGGGTTAGGAGCAGGACGAGGAGGAGGAGGAGGAGGAGGAGTTGACGCGAAAAAGGAGATCATGAGGAGGAGGAGGTCCAGGATCAAAAGGAGGATGGGGAGGTAGGGGTAGGATCAGAAAGGACCATCGAGGGGTGAGACGTTTCCTTGGGGAGGCTGCTCGCAGACCAGTTTTTTGCCTGGCGTGCTGGCTGTATGGGAAGCAGGGTTGTGTGAACTTGCGTGCGGTGCACGAAATTGTTCGCCCTCTGGTTGCGCATGCGGACTACCCAGACCCCCGATATCATGATTCTATCATTACGTCGACACCCGAGGTCTCGACCCATTCCCGGGGACCGGTTTCTCGTCCCGAGTTGTTTTTGACGGTCCCGAGGGCCGGGGAGGGCCTCCAGAGGACGAAAGCAAGGAAACATCTCCCGTCGTGACTTCGTCGTTGCCCGACGGGTTAGGGTGTGCAGTGCGCCATCTTTTCTCTCAGGTGTGAAGTCGCGCCTCGCTGCTCCTGGGCATCGGGGTCCCGAGCGCCCTGCCATGCTATTAACTTCGGGCTCGGGCGCTCCCCCCATCTCGTCTGGTAGGCTCATGAACTGCTGCCCTCAGGATAGATTCAATCGGGCCTGTCCCTCTGCAGGAGAAGGAATATCCAAAAATATGCACGAAATAGTCTGGAGACGATATTTCGATTATGTTTGATCATTTAGGCGTATATTTGGGATATATCCCTACCTAGGCTCTGCCTAGAAGGGTTCTTACTCTCTGGGCTTAAAGGGGCCGGGCAGTGGAAAGCGCCCCGGGCGGTTCCCCCAGTATCCGCCCCGCGGTTCCCCCAGTTACGTCCCCTTAGCTTAGCGTTGCTTATCTCATCTTAGCTTAGCTTATTTCATCTTAGCTTAGCTTAGCTTAGCTTAGCCTAGCCTAGCTTAGCTTAGCTTAGCTTAGCTTAGCCCAGCTTAGCTTAGCTTAGCGCCGCGCAGCATTAGCATAGCATTGCATAGCATAGCATAGCATAGCGCAGCATAACATAACGCAGCACAGCATAGCATAGCATAGCGCATCGTTGCATAGTATATCATTGCATAACATAGCGCAGCATATCATATCATAACATAGCGCAGCATATCATACCATAGCATAGCCTAGCATAGCATAGCATAGCATAGCGCAGCATATCAGAGCATATCATAGCATAGCGCAGCATAGCATAGCATATCATAGCACAGCGCAGCATATCATAGCATAGCATAGCCTAGCATAACACCGCGCAGCCGAGCTTACCCTAGCATAGCGAAAGCAACATCAAAGCCAATACAAAGGCAAGGCAATGCAAAGCAAAGGCAAGGCAATGTAAAGCAAAAGCAACACCAATGCGACAGTGTAGATGTAGATGTAGATGCAGGTGTAGGTGTAGATGTGGATGTAGGTGTAGATGTAGATGTAGATGTAGGTGTAGATGTAGGTGTAGATGTCGATGTAGATGTGAGTCTCGCTGTTGATGTTGATGTAGATGTATATGCATGTGTAGATGTTAATGTAGCTGTCGGTGTAGATGTAGATGTTACTTTCCTAGATGATCCAACTCCTAGGTAGGGTCGCACTGGGATACTTTGAATTTTCCCTTCACAATCCGCCCGTAGAGGGACACGCCCGACCTAAAGTTGCCCGCGATTGAACGGAGAACCCTGGTCACGCAGGAAGAGCTCAGGACTCATGCCCCAGTTCAGAGGTGGCTCTGGCCCGGCAGTTGCGCGCGTTGAGGTAATGGTCGCAGGCGTATCGGAGAGCTGGTCGTGTACGTGGGCCGGTGTGACTGCTCCTCTCCTCCACCTCTCGCTTCCTAGCCAATCTGGCCCAAGACGGTGAGAGGGAGAGCGGCAGGCAGCCAGCGAGGCGCTCGCGGCCATGTCCCACCGCAAGTTCGAGCACCCCCGGTGCGGCAGCCTGGGCTTCTTGCCGCGCAAGCGCACCAAGCACCACTTCGGCAAGATCAAGAGCTTCCCCAAGGATGACGAGAAGAAGCCGCCGCACCTGACTGCCTTCATGACATACAAGGCCGGCATGACCCACATCGTCCGCGACGTGGACAGGCCAGGATCCAAGCTGCACAAAAAGGAGGTGGCCGAGGCCGTCACCATCCTCGAGGCTCCTCCGATGGTCGTCGTCGGCTTCGTCGGGTACGTCGAGACGCCGCGCGGCCTGCGCGCGCTCACTACGGTGTGGGCTGGCCACCTGAACGAGGAGTGCAGGCGCCGGTTCTACAAGGCGTGGCACAAGTCCAAGAAGAAGGCGTTCACCAAGTACAGCAAGAAG